TGGAAGACGAGAGTGATACGATCTTGTACTGGGTTGATCAGATTAAAGCAAGCAGCAAAAACAGGCGCAATTGTGTACTGAATGCAGTACTGTATTTGAACATTTGCTGTTATGTTTTGAGATGGACAAGCAATCACAACCACGTCCACTCAGGGGACGGGAAGTGTATACCATTTCATACCACTGGCGCTGCTTGTAATGCGTCATCTTTGACTGTATGTCATTATCTCACCAGTCTCTCTGCGCTGCTGTAGGTTCTGTATTCATGATTAGTTTCCCCTTGCTTTGACAAATACAAGCCGGAGGTTGGCGACCACTGCTGAGGCGTTTATGTTGCAGTCACAGAAGAAAAAGCATTCATGGCAACAAGGTTTCTCTTAATGCTTTCCCTTATTATTATTTGTTCAGAATTTGCTGCCGACCTTACTTCACATCTTGAAATACTGCTTTACTGTTGCAATCTTGTGGACACACACAAGCATAGCTCTGATATGCCATCATGCAAAACTGTATTTAAAAGTAAGTACGTCAGCACTGTGACACGGTTACAAAAATTGCAAAATAGACCTTTACTGGGATCAAATCTGCAGGGGCCGCAGTAACCACAGGAGGCAGTCTCAGCTCGATCCTTACATTATCCATAATGTCTTGCCCTAATGAGATTTCACTGTGTCTCTGGGAGTGTAATTGTGCCCTATGTTCTCTTATACACCCATCAGTGTTTTGTGGAGATCCTCATTATGTCCTACAGGGCAGGCCTGATTGCTGGTGGCAATTGAATCTAATCCCCACCTTAGAGACTAATAAAAATCCTAATATTGTGTATGTGCATGTGTGTGAGCATAAAATGGGACAGTGCCCTAGGATTTCAGATGACATAAAAAATTAAAGTCATATTACAGTACATAGGTGATTAAGTGCATGAATGCATGAATGCATTAACATGATTCATGATCACTATAACAGAGAAGGGTGTAAATCACGATCAGGATGTTTAATTACAGAAGAGAGCGTAATGAAAGTTGGCAAACCAGACAAGATAGCCCAAGAGAAAGTGACAGCTCTTTCAGACTTGTGACATTACTGAAGCAGCAGACCACTGCATAAGAGAACTTTGATGTATTATTCAAAGAGGCCATGAACAACCTTTGGAGATCGACCATAAACTGGTGAGGGACCCTGTTCCTCAACGACAGGCTAAAGGAAGAAAAACGAAGCACAATTTATGGTGATTTTATTGGAATGCAGCTGATGCAGTGTGACCCAGTGTCGGACAAGTCCGATAACAAACAATTAAAATTTAATTGCATGCTGTTCGTCCGTTTCAGGTTGCTCCTGTCTCGGTCTAAAATAGTGGTTGTGCAAAAGGAGAGCTCAGATTCCTGACATGTTTTTCGAAGAGCATGACATCCTCAAACGGAAACATCATGGTGCAGAGGTGAACGGATTTTTCCTGCAAGTAACATCAGATTGATTCAAAGTTCAAGCCAAGCCGCTGCTCGCTGTGAACAAAGGTTTTGTTTACGGCTGAAGGTTTTGACCAAATATCAAGTATGCCGCCGCTGTAGACAGACAGAACTGCAACCCCATCATTACTGCTGAATGTTATTCAGTCTTCATTTATATTTCTGCCTTTAAATGCAGTAATTTTTCAGTACTAATTACATTTTTCTTCTTACAGTCTTAGACTCCGGCAGCTCTAACAATAACTGGTATTTATCTAAACATAAGAACACCTGCCTGAGTCAGTGGGAAAACAACATTAAGCACGAGCACGCTGGAGAAAAAGCTCTGCAGATGAAAATTAGTCAAAACAGACAGAAAAAGTTCAACCAAACTTTCTGACAGTAAATACCGTGTGTAGTTTTTATTATAGGTTTCACAGGAAGTCGTGAGTAATAGCCTCTACATGACAGCACGCAGCTATGATACAGTCTTCCAACGAGTGATTTAGTTTTTTGTCGTGTGGTCGATTACAGATCTTTTTCAGAAGTTGCTTTCAGAAGCCCTCTGTGGCTCCACTGCATGCAGGAAAACGGAATCAGATATAAATAATAACAAATGACTAACTATAAAAAAATCTTTTAGCAAGCTGATCATTTCTTTTTATTATGAGGCTGCAGTAAATCACAGCAGAGCGACTAGGATGTGCATCATCTTGAAGGCTTACTATGACAACATGTGCTGTACTCTGACTCTGTCTCCAACCTCAACAATCACACAGGGTGTTTGTCCCTAGAGTCTGATACGACCCATAGGAGCATCTGCTGAAATAGTGTCCCTACAACGGCAGGCATCCAAGACTTTCGTCATCATGGTTACAGTAATAAGCATGTGGTTAAGCTCATGGAAAGATCACAATTTGGTTAGGTTAAGGAAACAATCATGAGCTGTGTCCCGGTTCAGGGGCCGCATCCTTCGGCGGCTGCATTTGAAGACTGGTTGCGTCACAGTGGCGTAACTAGCCTTTCCCATTCCTAGGGCTCCTTCGAATGCGGCCGAGAAATGCCTCCCCCTTTTCCTGGGCAACGAAGGCGCAGCTGGTGACGCAAAGCGATAATCCTCCATAGGCCAGACTGTCTCGTTCGGCCTTCACGGACCATCATCGTCATGGTTACCACGGTAAACACTTATTATTGTCTATTGATTTTAAATGGGAAAGAACGATACAGCTGTCCACATCTGTCCACCTCGACCTCCTCCTAACACGGACTTCATCGGTCTTTATACGACGTGACTTCACCTGACTTCCTCCTTTGCTCCCGTCATAATTACTACAGCTGCTTGAGGTCACCCAATAATAAAACGTAACTATGGGTTGTAATAAGCTGCTGGCACAGACGACCTATAAGCTTTTTTTGTTTTTTTTCCAGAGGACAGCCCCTTCAATAAGGAATCTACTGAAACAGATTACAGGATTTTAATGTGCCTGGTGAGAAGTGAAAAATATCTGTTCGTGAACTCACTGCTCTGAGGACACTGCAAAAGAGCGTTTTTTTCCTCCATAATATTTACTTAATATACATATCAATCATGTCAAAAACAGCTTTATACTACAAACAGTCAATCGAGCAAACACGAGCGGAGCAGCGGGAGAATATCAATCACTTCGGCGATCACTGGAGGATATAAATATTTCATGAAAAAAAGTAAGACATTAATTTGATATAGGCTTGGCTGCCTTTTGAATAAATCCCTGGTGTGACACTGAATCGCACACCCACACCGTCACACACATACAAACACACAGGCTAAGACTTTGATCCAAAGCCTCTTATAGGGTTTTGCTGATTTTTCCCCCCCAAAATGAGAGACCACAGATCCTCCTCTCAGCTCTCAGCGCGAGACACCCAGTATCATTAGCCGCGAGGATCAAAGACGCAGGCGGCCGGAGGAGTGTGTCCCTGACACAAGAGCTGCTTCACGTCCAGTGGACAAAGATGACAGGCATTAGATGGAGTTTGGAGTTGGTGCAAATTTACATGACTTGAGCTCTTTTTAAATGGAAGCGTCTACATGGGTGTTCTGGACGCTGCATGGGTTCAATTCAAGTCCTTGGACAGCACAAGCACTCACCCCCCCTCCCCATAATATAGTACCTGAAGGGACTACTGTGTCTATGGCATTCAACTGTAAGCTAACAGTGACCTTATCACACTCTATGGTATTTTTCATTTCCCATGACACCACTATAATGTTGAAATAGGGAGTCTGGGATTTGCTCTCATATTTATGCAATAGCCTTTCCAAATCCAATTTAGTCCACTCAATGTAGCACAAATTGGATAATAAATACTGCATACTTAAATGTCTGCTTTACAAAAAAAAAGAAGGATATATATGTGTGATTCAAAGGTTAAACTGAAAATGTAGAGCAATTTTCTTTGTTCTCAAGAAAGAAAACAAACTTGAAACCTCAAGAACCTCAGAGGTGCCACAACAATATACACTATCATACTATCAAATTATACTTCTAAGGCTGCAACAAACAATTGTTTTATTTGACGATTATTTTCTTAATCAGCCCCTGGGTCTGTAAATGGTTAGAGTGAACTCAAGTTGCCATGTTCAAACTTCTTGTTTTGACTGACCAATAGTCCCTCACTCCTAGATATACAGTTTACTATCATATACCTACAAGACAATCTGAAAAAGTTAAAAATTAAGAAACTGAAACCAGAGAACTACTTAAAAATGATATTAATGATTAATCAACTACCAAATTTTGCAGATGATTTATCAACTTATCGCTTCAGCTCTATAGGTATAGGTTAAATTCATAATATATGAATACAAAACATGTATCAGCGATATTAATTTTGATTACCAATGGCCATACAGTGCATGTTTGCTTGTAATATTACATAGCTTGAAAGTAAATCTCAATGTAATCAATCTAATCAATCTAACCGCCTGTTTATGTTGGTGGTATTATAGGCAATTGGATTTTCTGTAATCTTGACCAATGGTGGCTGCATGACATTTAAAAAATATTAAAGTGACTACAGCTTCCCTGTTGTGTTGAAAGGCTGAAAGGATCCAAGCAATATCTTAAATGAGTGTGCACTTGAATGAACAGTGGAATGTGTATTTTTCTGACTCTCTCAAATGTAACACACCCCCTTAAAAAGCCAAACTACACCACATAGCAACAGGACCCCACCACACCACACAACACAACCGAAGCATGTCTGAAACACCTTCGTCCAACAACGACTGTGGGAGGAATATTAATATCCGAGTGCAGGAGACTTGTAACAACAATAAACACCCAGAAAAAGTTCAATTTCTTAACGTGGCTTGTTCACAGCATCGAGCATGAGGGAGACTTATCAGTTTTTAGAGACAATAGCACTGCTGTCAAAACATAAAGCGCGTTTAAAAAGCTAACGGATTTCAAAAAATGTCCGAAAAAAAAAAAAAAGAAGAGAGAAAAAAAAAAAAAAAAAGAGCCAACTACGACATGCGGGAAAGTTGGTGTGAAAGCTCAGGGACCTCACCTTGTTTAACACACTTGAGTCGGACGGGGTCTTTGCTGTGTTTGACCACAGCATGGACGTCCCTGGTGGTGAGTCCAGCCACCGGGGTATCGTTGACTTCCAGCAGGAGTTCATCCTGGAAGAGTTTACCGCTGTGGCACACCGCTCTGCCCGGGAGAAGCTCGCCGATAACCGGGAACTGTCCATTCTCAGCGCCGCCCTGCAACTCCAGCCCCAGCTCCCCCTCCTCATTCCTGCAAAGGACACTCTCATGGACTTTGTTAGTCCAGTGGTTCTTCCTCTTCTTCAGGCTCTTGGACATGGCTCAAACAAGGGGAAATCACATGAGTGCGGCCGTGGAAGAAGTTTTATCGCTCTCTGAAGCCCCCCAGTGTCACCGTAACACTGTAATGTGTCCAGTTTCAACAGTAAACGCCAGTTGTATCCATGTCAGCGCACACACACACGCACAGCAGCTGGATCATCAGTCTGCTATAACTGAGAGCTGCTCAACTTGTGATGCCTTCAAGTTCTGCCCCTAATATCGGAATTGACAGGTTCAGCGACAAAAAAAAAAAAGTAAAACCGAATTTAGGAGTATGGAACCCATTCACCAGCTAACACTCATTACAATTTAAATATTCATTAAAAAAGATTTAAAAAATATGTTCAAATACAATGGACCTGCTGCTGGATGTACATACAGACTCTTACTTGTATTTGTATGTCCATGGTACACCAACAAATTAATAGTGTCATAAAAACAACTAATGAACTAACTAACTGTATGACCATTCATCCATAAAATGTATAGAACAAGGCTTTCTGATTAACTCCCTTCACCTGCAGAGATTAAATCACATTTGAAAAACTACTTTTTATGCAGTTCTACCACTTTAGCAGTAAAAAATTACCTTATAAATCCACAAATTTGTTCTTTGCAAACGATTTTTTAAAAATAACACTGCAAAAACTATCATCATTTAATGCATCAAGGGAATGGTGTTTGCAACTCTCAAACTTACAAGTGTACAACTTTACGAGGGGCGCCTGAAGGCAGCATCGAGCTCCAACCAACCTAACTGACCCGGATGTGAAGGCTGGAGGAGGAGGAGGAGGAGGAGGAGGAGGAGGAGGAGAGAGAGAGAGGCAAGGCTTTTCCCAAATCCAGCTTTCCATGGAAAAAAAAGAAAAGAGAGAGAGGCAGAGTAACGGTATTTCCACTGGCATGGCAGCAGAGCAGCAGCAATAATAAGAGTTTTTCATACCACAAATATGCCTCTACTTTTTGACGTTTGATACAGACACTGCAGATGACACAGTTTGTAAAAGTAGAGAGAACTACATGCCAGTAACTTATAGTATAACTTTGTATTGCCTGTATGAGCTGTAGGCCTCAGGAGGGGAGGTCGACCGATTCACTCAAATGCATTGTCATTCCTCTCCCCTTGAAAGTGGGACCACATCAATTACACTCCATTCCTGCTCAGACAGGAGCCTACAAAGGTCGCTTAGTTCAAAGAAACCTTTGAAACATATTGTCATTATTTATTTATTTTTTGTCCTTAGGTGAACTTGATGGCAAAAAAGCTTATATTTCCTTGAACACCCTCAAGGTCTTTGGTGAATGAAGCGTTTGTATTTTATGGAACACTTTCAAGGGCGGCGAGCATTTCTCATCTGAGCATTTCCTCCTTATTAATGATATTGATATTTCAAGGCATATTTTCTTCCCTCTCACAGCACTTTGTGATATACAGACCCAGTCAGTTAGCTGCAATAGTTTTGTCATGCGCCAGAAGAAATGGCTCTAAAAAGGAAAATCCCCTTGTGTTTATCTCACACCAGAGGAGAGGGACATAAAGCAAATGGAGAATTGAGTGAGTATAATCCATCTTCAAACAAATGTGTGTTGTGGGTTTCTTTTCCTTCAAGGGGTTGACATCTTTAAAACTTACAATCCGCTTTATGGCGAAGCCTGTCCTCGACACCTCTTCTCACTCAGTCCCAGAGCTCATGCTCAGTAATGATAGTTTCCTGCCTTACTGCCATAATTGTATAGATATACAATGATAATAGCTATTCTACATCGCCGAGTTATCTGTCATAGCAAGTTAATCCTTTTTTCAGCCTTAAAATCGTGTTTTTCTCATAACAAATGAGAAGTCCCAGTAATGACTTGAGATAAGTGCACTTGTTTCCCACGCAGAGAGACTCTCTCTCTCTCTCTCTCTCTCTCTCTCTCTCTCTCTCTCTCTCTCTCTCGTTATGATTGGGGGGTAATTCATTCTGCCTTGTTCAAAGACGTTTCCACTACTGAGGTCACGAGTCAATGTCCCTCAAACGCATCTCCACTCCCAGTGCTCAGCTGACTGTTCAGAAATGTTTTCTGTTACTTCTATTTCTGTTCTGACACTGAACCTCAGTCGCTCTGAGCTCTGACTGAAATTAGTGAAAGTCGTAGTCAGCATTTTTTTTTTTTTTTCAAATTGACTAGATATTGCAGTAACATCCTTATCGTGATTTTTTTTTGGCCATAATTGCGTAGTGAAAATCTGATATCATAACAGCCCTAGTTTAGAGTATATTTTATTTAAACAGATGTACAGTTTGATGTATTTTGTTACAGTCAAAACTGCTTCGTATTCTGCAAAGTAAAGCATCATATCGGCATCAATATCCCATGTCTTTTTAGTTTAGTGTTTGTTGACAACACAAATTACATCAAACTTAAAGAAACAGTTTGATATTTTGAATTTTAATTTGCTTCATGCTGAGAGTTTGATGAGAAGATTGATACCTCACTAATGTCTGTACCGTAAATATGAAGCGCCAAACTGTTTCCCTCAGTATCTAGTGTTTATTCTAAACACAGCTGGATGTAACTTAAAGTGTTTTCCACGAACTATACAACTTAAAGTGAATGAGCATATTTCACAAAATGTCATGGCTTTTTCTGTAAGTATTTTTCAGTCAGGAAGGCAATGATAAATATGAAGTAAAATAGAATTTACTGTGTAGATTTATAGATTTGTATAGATTTTGGCGCTTAGACCCGGGCAGGAAGTTGATCACCATGGGAGGTGCTTCCAATAACAGGAGCCTGGACACTGGTGGTGATGAGGAATGGAGCTCGAACGTCTTCATGAGAGGGAAACTCCTGATCGGAGGGTTAGATTGGAGGTGGCCAGGCCTCGACAAGTGAGGTGGTGAAGGGGGTGGAGGTGGGTCGCCAAATGTTCAGAGAGAGAGAGAAAACTTTGACAGCTGACATGTGATTGGCTAAAGGCCAGCGTGTCAAGGTCGTGATTGGATGAAAACGAGAATGAGCTGGTGGAGTTCAGAGATGGCGGGAAAGAGCATGTGACTTAGAAAGCACGCGCAAGGAACTGAACTTTCGCTGAGTTTCATTTAGTGTAAAAATACAAATACAAATAACCAAATAAATTTTAGATCGTCCCCCAGGTTTTCTAAAATCCCCAGATTCCCAGAAAAGACTTCAGCGTCGTCAGTGCAGCTTCGGGCCTGTTTGTGAATAGATGCAACTGTCTCAGTCTATCAGATTCCTGTATGTGTCTTAAAACAAAGGGAGAACAATCAGATATCAAGAAGACACAGTTATGAGATGAGAAACAACTTCGACGCTGTGTTGCAATCAATTTCTCCTCAAAACAATTTCGCTGCCCTTGAGTCGTGTTGACAACAAAAAGCTACAGACAACAGACAATGCAACTTTCTCTCCTCCGCAGGATTTGGGGAAGCGCCTCTGTGCATTCCAGAGGTGGCAGCTCTGCAGAGGGAAAATTTAAAAAAAAAAAAAAAAAAGGAGAAAGAAAGCGAAAGAGAAGGGGGGGGGGTGTTTTATTAACAAGGGCAGGAATTCTGGAGGCAGTGTTTGAAGAAGGAGAGGAATGCTCTGCGCGTGGCAGAATGAGTGCCGGGGAGGAGAGGAGAACATCAACAGTTCAGCGAATGAAAGGACTGGAAAAACAGTGTGGGATTAAACTGTGTAAAATATGCTGGGTTGGCTCGGGCCTGGCACAATGAGCACATAAGCGTGGGATGATGAGAATTCATTTTACGACTGTTAGACATAATGTATATGTTACGAGAACAACATTGTCGAAATCCCCGCTCATATAACCGCCATTTTTCATGGATATGTGACACACTGTGCGCACAAACACACACACACACACACAAACAAACACACACAGCAGCGGCCCCCATTTCTTTATGTTGTTTTCATATTGCAGGAAATCACTATCGCTATCAGTCACATGTTCACGACCAGATGGGAGTTCATCGGCTCAGCCAGTGATGCTGCCCCTGGGATTGCAACACTGCTCTGCTACATGATGTAATGGTTATGACAGGCCTCATTGCAGGATAATTAAAGCTGGTCAGGAATAAAGCAAAACTGCCTGGTGATGGCTTCTACTGCCGATGAAAGAGGAAGTTATTATCCACTTTGTTTGAGCGAACGCTGCCATTCCAGCTCCAGCGGAGTCATTGTTGGCGATAAGGCTGCTTGTTTTACATTGTCACACTTGATGCAGGGCTGATTGATCAAACGGAGCTGGCTGCTCTTATTCCAAGCCGTTGCCGCCGCCGTGGTGTGTTTTGTCTTATTTAAGCTGATTCCATCCGAGGCATCTGACCTGTTTATTCTGCTGCCATCTGCTCGACCTTGCCGCCAAGGAAAGGTCCAGTCCGTCATTCTTGTCTCTGCTATTGCTTGACCCCCAGGGATGAAGGGGTGCCAGGAGATATGCAGCTCAACCTGATATGCTGCCAACATCATCTCTGGCTTTCGCTGAAACTGGCAGAGAAAAGGTGAGAAGCTGGGGGGCATTGCATAATGTGAGAAATCGTGGAGGTAAAAGAGAATACCTGAAAAAGTGGCCATCCATTCGAACTCTATCCATTCATTTATGGGTTGTTTGGGCTGGGCTGGTTTAGCCTTTTAGTTTCAATCAAGCAAAAATCTCCCTATGAAAATGCTCGCTAGACTGCCCGACATATGCCTGGGGCCTGGGCCCGAGTCTGGCCCATATACTTCCACATCTGGGCAGAATCCAGCTGTTATCTTCCAGTATTGACCGACAGCCAGAATTGGTCCAGATGTGGAAGCAGCATCAGACAGACAATCATGCTGTATATGGGCCAGATTCGGGCCGTGGAACTGGGGGGCGTACGCTGGGCCAAAAGAAAACATGCCACAAGTATGGGCTGGATTTACTTTGCTATCTGGGTTGCTGGTTTGGGAACCAACCCACGCACAAACACAGGTTTACAAAGATAATGTTTTCTGAATTGGGC